GCTGCACCGGGAACAGCAGCAGGCGGTAGGCCGCCATGCTCCGGATGAAGTTGTAGCGCGCCTGTGCAGAGCGAGCTCGTGACCGGGGGCCGGCGCTCCCCTGCCCGAGCCAGGCCGGGCAGCAGGCTGGGGCACAGCGGATGTGGGGGCAGCTGCTTTCCCTGGGGGCTTCCCGAGGAGGGTTCCGGGGGAGTGGGTATCTCCCTGGGGAGGGCAGGGAAGGGAGGCGGTGGGGGCCGCCTGGGCGGGCAGGGGTCGTCATCGGGCAGCACACAGCCCCGGCTGGCCGCCCTGCTGGCACCTGCTGGAAGGCCAGGGTGGACTCGTCCCCGTACTGGCGCGTGAAGTAGTCGTACATGCCGAAGTCGGTCTGGCGGCCCAGTTGGTCTCGGGACGTGCAGTCGGGGATGCACTCGATCACGCCGCACTGCGGGGAGGGGTGCGTCGGAGGCCTGTCCGGGGCCGGCGAGGACCCTTCACCCGCCCTGGTCCGGGACTTACCCCGGGGGCAGTGGCCACCACGCGGTAGGGGAAGACGAAGAGGTCCAGGCCGACCAGCTGGAAGATGTTCTTGAACAGGTCGATGATCTGCAGGGCCAGCATGTCCTGGGGCAGGGCACAGCGTGTCAGCTCAGCCGCTGCCAGTCATGGCCGGTCGGGGGTGCAGGGAGGGAGGCCTGGCAAGTTGGGGGGTCTGAGGGCCCCATCACACTGCCCCCCGAGACGGGGTGGCCCAGGAGGAGGGAAGCTCCCTCTGGGCGGACACTGGGGGCCGGGGAGGGGGAGGGCCCGAAGCCAGGGGCCGAGGGCCGTGCAGAAGCCCGAGCCACGTGGAGAAAGCGAGGACTTGCGTCTTCGGACGTGCCTGTGCCCCAGAGCCTGAGCCCGGGCCGTACCTGCCGGCAGTCGTCCCCCACTTTGAAGATGGCCGCCTGCCAGGAGATCTTCTGGCCGTCCGCTTCCTGCGAGCCGCACTCGTCCTCGGAGTCGGAGCGGCACCGCAGGCCTGGTGCGGGGAGAGGCGTGTGAACACAGGGTGTGGAAGCCCTCTCAGCGTGCGGGGTGGGCCACTCCTGCACCTGGAAGGTGCCCAGGAACCTTGGGAGTCTGCAGAGCCCTAGGGCGGCCAGCAAGAGGCCCAGCAGGGCCCGGAAACATCGGGTCAGCAGTGGAAGCGCAGGGCCGGGGCGTTTGCTAAGGACTTTCAGGCTGAGATGGAATGAAAAACAGGCTCGTTTTTGTCCAAGTAAGGGCCCAGGTGTGGCGGGGGGCAGTGAGGGCCTCGTGAGCTTGAGGAGAGGGAGGGAGTGTCTGTACACTGGGGTACCCAGGAGGGCTTGGGGACCAGACTAGCCCAGCTGTAAAAGGCACTGGCTGGGTGGGGGGGGTCCCTCTTTGCAGCTGACCACACCCCTGTGCTGGGTTGAACAATGTCCCCCCAGATTCACACCGCTGTGCTGGGTTGAACCGTGTTCCCCCTCCAAATTTACTCTCACCTGAGACCTCAGGATGTGACCTTATTAGGAAAAAGGGTTTGTGCCGTTATAACCGAGAGAGGACGACGTCATACGGGTTAGGGAGGGGCCCGAATCAATGCCTGGGATCCTTGTAAGAACAGGGGAATGGGGCCAGCAGCTGGTGTGGAGCGGCAGGTGCTGGGCCCCACATGGCTGGCTGCGCGTTTCGAGTCCTGGATCCAGTGTCTCAAAAATCACAGTAGGGGGACCAGCAGTTGGCGTAATGGCTATGTCGCTGGACTCCCATGTAGTTGACCACAGTTCGAGTCCCGGATCCGGTGGCTTAAACTCACGCCGGGCATGTGTGTGTGCGTGCCCAAGATCCCGAGAGGAGAATGGAGGAGAAGGGATTGCGGCGTGGCCATCCCCCCTGGGGGGTGATTTCTCGCTTTCTGTCTCTCTCTCTGTCTTTCTGGCGAGTGCACGCGCCCTGTAGCAAAAACTTCTCCAAAAAAATGAAAAAATCGCATGAGGGAAGGGGCCTGCAAATGGTGTGGCGGCTATGCCACTGGACTCCCACATGGCTGACCGCGGTTCAAGTTCTGGACCCAGTGGCTTGGAACTCAAGCCAGGTGCATATGTGTGCGTGCATGCCCAAGACCCCCGGAGGACAGAGGACAAGGGACTGCAGTGTGGCCGTCCCCCCAGGGGGTGATCTCTCACTTTCCCTCTCACTGTCTCTCTCTTCGGCAAGTACAGGCGCCTTAAGGCAAAAACCTCTAAAAAATGAAAGCAAAAATCATGCTGGTCATGTGTGCGTGTGCGCCCCAAATTCCGAGAGGAATGTGGAGAAGAAGGGATTGTGCTGTGGCCATTCCAGTGCCCCCCGGGAGTGGTTTCTCTTCTTCTTTCTCTGTCTCTCGCTTTCCATGTGCACAGGTGCCCTAAAACAAAACTTAAAAAGGAAGTGGGGGACTTGGACACATGGGAGAGGCGTCGGGGGGCAGAGGCCAAGGAGTGCCAAGAACTCTGCCCACCCCCAGGAGCCAGAGCCCAGGAGGGTCCTGCCCCAGGCCTTAAGGAGAGCATAGCCCTGCGACACCCCAGTGCTGGACTCTGGCCTCAGGCAAAGACAGGGAGTTTCTGCTCCTGCCCCCGAGTCTGCGGCCCTTAGGACAGAGGCCCAGGAACCTGACGCGCCGACCTGCGCAGGCCCCAGGGGTCGCAGCCTGTGAGCTCTGTGCTGTCCCCGGGGCAGGGATGGGGGGATGAGACGGCAGCTTTACGGGAGCCTGTAATAGGCCGAACGTGCAGAAGGGCGGTGAGGAGGAGCGTGTGCGCCCAGCGAACTGGAACTCTGCACTCACCTTCTCTCTCGAGCTCGCTAACTCCACACCGTTTCACCTTAAATTTGGCCAGATAGGGGGCTTTCGCAGCGCTGGAAAACAGCAGAGAGGACGCGACACATGTGACTCGGTACGTGACGGCTCTCGTGCCAGGGAGGTGGAGGGCGGGCGGCGACACTCACCTCTGCATCGGCGTCCCCGACTTGTAGTCGATGTCCAGCACGATGGCCTCGGGGTTGCTGGGCAGGTAGCAGCCTGGGGACAGAGGGGAGTCACAGGGAGCCCGCCGGTGACGGAGCCACGGCGGGGGCAAGGGCCCCAGCACCGG